TATATTTGCGCGTAGTGACGTGCCACGAGAGCCACGTTCCAGTTCTTTACGGTCTTCGTGAATAATGCAATACACACTGGCAGTGTATCACAGTTCAACAGCTGACTAATTCTCATTTCTTTAGTAACTCAAACCTTGTGCCCATACCATCACAAATGGATAGGCCGGTGCGGAAGTGTCTTAAGAACTCCACAAAAGTTATGCACAAAGACTGGATGCTGAGCTTTTATACGCACAGAAACCTGGGCTAACCCCAGATAATCCAAACAATCCGCAATTCTCCAAGACAACTAAATCCGTGTGCAAACCCCAAAAATCATGTGTACGCTTGTGCATGGCTGGAGAAAGAAATCCTAATAGCACAAATGAGCGTGAAAAGATTAGGCGAAAATCTACGCAAAAATGTGCTGAAAACTTGCTTGGGGGTAGCAGTGTGTCACACTTTCAGTCTAAGGGGGAAATGCAGAAATGATTTACCAGAAATGATACAAAGACGACTGAAGTTTTGTTGATGCGCAACTTCAATGAAACGAAACAAATTGGGGGGTGGACATTTGTGAGAACTATGTTCAACGGAAACCAGCCATGGTTAACTTCACCGGTAACTGCTCGCGCTGTTTTCAGTATATTCTCACAAAAAGACGAATCCTCGGTAAGCGGTAGAGGCCAGGAAGAACAGAGGAACCACTAAAATCGTCCAACTCCCCCCTCCCTAGATGTTGCAACACCTAAGTTGTTGGGTACTTCAGAACAAACGTATTGTACAGATAGATTTGATTGTATACCCACGGAGTCGATTGGGCTCGATTGTGATGAATGTAGTTGATAACACTTAGACTTGCACGTGTATACGGCTGTCAGTCAGTCGAACTAGGGCATTCTTGATTCAGATGACCTCAATAGCACGTTATATTCCTGGTCAAAACCGGATGTCCAGACTAAATCATAAAATTTATTGATGCCAGGCACATAAACCTCGTCGATATAGATAATTCTCGTTTGTGAGTGACTGAGGTCATAATACATCGGTGGGTTGTGAAGCTAAACAAAATCACTGGTGCAAACATCCTTCGTGTCAAACAATCAGACGGGATATTCTCATCCGAGACTTGATAAAATAACCAGTGATCTACTGACTACTTCCAAAATGACAAGGCGTAAAATTTGAAAAATCAAAGGTTTTGAAAGGACTGGCAAAATTTTGATGGCTGCGCGAATCAACATTCCTGAAAACCAGTCGGTCGTTGATACCATGGATAAATTAAATTAATATCAGTAAAAAGGCAATGTACGAACTGTCACAGTATTCCTAATGAGACTCGTCAGTGGTGTTCATGGCAGTCAAACGGTTTGAGTTACTGTCACCCGTGTGCTTTGGGTTGTGGGGTCCGAGGTTCAAACCCCGCCACCGCCAATCATCTTTGGTGGTAGGCAGCTTCACTAACATCCGGCTCAATACTATGCTCAATCCAGCGGGGCATTATGGGGTTCACCACTCCAAGTCCTGGGGCTTCGGTTGCAGGTTTCCGTCACTGAACAACAAGCCCTGGTGACAATAGGGTTTACCGTCTTTTGTTAATCACCACTTGGCGTAACCCCTCTTCGGTACAGATATGGAGTCAGACTGATCATATAGCTATCAGTTATAGACGGAGATTATGTATGAAAGACTGCCATTCATATTGACCTACCTGCTTGGACTCCGATCACGCACTGGTATGTGCCAAGTTGTCTATCCAATTTGGTGGCCACAAAAAGATGAGATGCAAACAGCTTGATACTGCCAGGCTTTCTGACCCGGCCGTGCTAGCCGATTACCAAAACGAGTTGGCCACAACGCTAACTACTACCCCACCAAGGAGCGTACATCAACACTGGACAACCATTCAAAACGCAATGCATTCAGCCAGTTTACATAGTCGTAGCCTAACCCGCTGAGTTGGAAATCACTAGGTTTCCTCCAACTCTCTTTGACTTCTTGAAGCGTATCGAGCAATCCTGGCAGACCCCGAGTATAATGAACAGCGCCTCTCTCTGAAGCGTAAACTCATCCTAGTAGTCAAAAGCTTTGTCTACCTCGGGAGTTGTATAACGGCTGGATGAGATGTGGTCGAAATGCCAACACTTGATCAAAGCTAGATTAGCGTTTGCTAATCTGCGGCATGTCTGGCGCCGGCGCGACATATCCCTTTCACTGAAAGAACGTGTGTATTGCGCAACGGTACGCACCATGTTGCTCTATGGCGGCGAAACCTGGCCTCTCCGAGCAGATTATGTCCAACGACTGTCCATCTTCGACAACACCACCCGCGTATTGTGGGAGCATCGCGTGAATAAAGATGAGGTCAGACGACGTGTAATAGGATCGTCTTAGGTGGCTAGGGCACGTCCTACGAATGTATGAGCAACGTCTGCCACACCGTACACTATTCGTAGACATTGGTCCGGGGCTGGAAGAAACAGTAAGATGGGTAGGCTATGACGTGGCGCAGAGTATTAAAGAGATTGTGCCCGGATCTGACTTGAATGTATCCCTTCAAGTGTGCAACCTCAAAAATAAACAACACAAAAGAGTCAAAATGGCGGACAGTAAACAACCAAAACATTTATTCCTCAAGTTGATTGTTTTGTTTGTATTATATACTGTATTATTACATTCTGTACCCATATTTTCGGTAACCCATGGTTATTTTTGGCGCCGTATCTGTAAAGGTTTGCCATATATATATATATATATATATA